CCCTGAGCCACCGGTCCCTCTGCTCCGGTTACCTACCCATCGAGCCGCTGGCAAAGCCTGGGATGCGCGGGGCTGGTCCAGGCCTCAAGGGCGGCCTCTTATACACATCTAGATGTGTATAAGAGACAGGGCGAGGACTCCTCCGGCGAAAAGCGGCCGAGCTCCCAGCGCAGCAAGCGCAGCTGGCGCGTAGCCACCACGAAAACCCGCGCATAGACGAAGAGCATCACGAGAAGAGGAAGGTAGAAGGAGACGGAGGAGGACAGCAGCACATAGGGCATGTTGGAGGCGAAGGCACAGCAGCGCGGGTTGGAGTGGCAGCGCTGCGCCTCGGCGTCGGCCCCTAGGCGCCACCACTGGCTCATGATGGGCGCAAACGACACCGCGGCCGACACCACCCACACCAGGACCACGGCTGCCCTGGCGCGGCGCTTGGTGACCAGTGCGCCGTAACGCAGCGGGTTAGTCACAGCCAGGTAGCGGTCCACGGCCAGGGCGCACAGGGTTTCGATGCTGGCGGTCACACACAGCACGTCCACCGAGGTCCACAGCTCGCAGCCAGTGGCACCCAACGGCCAGTGGCCAGTCAGCACCAACGTGGCCGCCGGCGGCACCACCAAGAGTCCCATCACCAGGTCGGCTGCGGCCAGCGAAGTCACGAACACGTTGGTCATGGTCTGGAGCCTCGGCGTCCGGGTGATGGCCACGATGACCAGCAGGTTGCCTCCCACGGTGGCCAGCACCGCCAGCGCCAGCAGCGCCCCGGCCAGGGCCGCCGCCCACGGCACCCCTGGGAGGCCACTGGTGTTGGCGGTATTGGGCGCCAGGGTGGGGACGTCCGGCCACGGGACTAGAGAGCTGTTCCCATGAGGCCACGGAGCCATCCCCGGGTCGCGCGTGGGGCGGGAGGGAAAGAAGGAAGGAGGGGGTCTCCCAAATCACCTGGCTCAGGGGAGGGGGCAGCGAGGCGTGAGAGCGACTTCCCCAGCCTGGGCCATCTTCCCTAGCTGTCCCAGCCAGAGCTCTCAGCCTCCCCCCACCCCTGCTCCCTCGGTGCCACCGCTCTTGGGGGAGGAGTGGCGGCGCTTAAAGGGGCAGAGGCCGGTAGTCTGGAGGGGCCTCTGGAGCGGAATTGGAGAGTGGGGAGGATGGGCGATGGGATGCTCCACGTTTCCTTTAGCTAAATCTGGAGGAAGGGACACCTGGCTCCTCTGCCACGATCTGTCCACCCCTGCCGTGGCCAGGCTCCTGGACTCAGCACAGCACTCCCTGGGCACTGGCTTCCTGGAGCCCTGCACCTCCTTTCCCAGAAAGTCCCACAGCAACACAGGGGAAGGAGAGAGGAGAGCGCTCCCATCCCCACCCTTTACAAAGGCAAAGGTAACGCGCTGGAGTCAAGCAAAGGATTCACAGGAGCCCCTTATCCACTTGGGTGCCCTCCCCTAAGGTATTTTAAATTAAGTAATAGGGCTCAGCCAGATCTCCTGTCCCAAGACCTCAGCTTGGTGTGATCTGTCCCCTTTCCCTTCTATTTGAATTACCTTCTCTTTCCTTCCAGCTTTGTTTTTGTTTCCTTTTTAAATATTTTCAGGTACTGAGGAAATTTACCATATTTCAGGTCTCTCTCTCTCTGTCTCTGGAGGGTAGGTCTCTCTCTTTCTTTCCCAGGCTGGCTTTGAACTCCTGGGCTCAAGCCACCCTCCTGTCCCAGCCTCCTGAGTAGTTGGAATTGCAGGCAGGAAC